TGTAAAAAAAAAAAAAAAAATTTTCATTTTGTTTTCACTTGAACAAAAAGGAATTAAAAAAATTAACGAAATGAATTCAACGTGTTGTGTGAGATACAATTGTAGCAGACGATATTTAATAAGGTAAACAATGTTTGTATGTTTTAAAGAAGTTCCCACATTAATTACCTGTTAATAAATCGTCCAAAAACCTGGATCATCGCGTCCAGGAATTTTTTTTTTATATTTTTTTTCTTCGGTTATTTAATTCCAATAATAACAAAAAAAAAAATATTTTGATCGATTTATTTGTGATGATTTTAAGTGGGGGTCCCCTTTCCAAACGATATTAAAAATAATTCTTCATATTATAAAACAATTTAAAAGTTTAGTAAAACTTAATTTTTTTTTTTTTTTTTTAAAAAAATCATTTATAAAATGAAAAAAAAAAACGTTTCACATTTCACTCGAATAAGATTTACTATTAAAATAAAAAATAAAATAAAATAACCATTTATTACAATCGATATCTTTAAAAACGTTAACTTGAAATTAATAACGGCCACGATTTAAAGACTCGTCCTTTTCCTATGAATTTATCACTGTGCTGTGAGAAGGAGGAGGATAGAATGAAATTTTATTTTGATTCCGTTTTTCCCAATCGTCCTTCCTTTGTCGCATACATATATTTTCATTATTATTATTATTATTTAAAAACACTTTAATAAAATCGATCGCGTCGAGCACAAATAGAGAGAAAATACAAACGAAAAAAAATTATTGAATGAAATTTTAAATAAATAATGTGTGCTCACACATCGTTATTAACACACGTGATATAAAAATTATTACAAATAAATTTTTTTTTTTTTGTTTAAACTTTTCACTGGTTAACCACAAATATTAAAATAATTATTCTTCGTGACCGAGTCCCACCATTATTGAAGTAATAATAATAATAAAAAAAAACCGGTGATCGTTTACCCATTAGACCCACGCTCTTTTTTTTTTTTTTTTTTTTTTTGTTATTTATTTGTTTATTTCACCTTTAAATAATAATAATAATAATAAATAAATAAATAAATTTTGCAAATCGAACACGTGCATAACGTTACGATTAAAAACAAAAAATAATAAAAAACATCTTTGATGTGATGAAAGTGATTCCTCAAGAGTTTTAAAAATAAAAATGTCTGAAGATGCGTATGTAATGTGCATAACATTCTTCATTTTTTCCTTTTGGTTTTTCAAATCACAGTTTATTTCCTTTTCCCTTTCTAAATTTCTTCTTCTTTCAATTATAAAAAATTTATAAATGTCTTCTTTAACGATAGTAGTAGTAGTAGTAGTAGTTGCAGTAAAAAAAAAAAATTAATAAAAAAAATGAATAAACAAAATTCGATTGTGTAAATGTGTTGTCTGCATGTATGTAATTTAGTAGTAACTTTTCCAGGTAGAATTCGATCGAAAGAGACAATTTTTAAATTCTGTCACTTTTGGAACTGGAGTTAGATTTAGGTGCACGAAGGTTATTATTTTAAAACCATTTCATCCAAAAGTTCTTTGTCCAAAAAGTTTAAAAAGTACGCTTTATAAAGTAATACAAATCATCCAAATAATTATGTATAAAGAGCCGAAAAAAAACAACAAATTCGGGTTTAAAATTTTTTGTTTTGTTTTTTTTTTCCAAATGTGAATTGGAAATTTATTGAATAAGCTAAGTAGGATACATAAATGATTTTTAATATTAATCGAAGAAAAAAAAAAAAAAGTAACAATAATAATAATAATAACAACGATTTAAAGGAAACATGTTGTTTAAATAATCACATACACATGCTTTATAATTTAAACTTGTTATGGTATAAAATAATTATATAGAATGGTTTTATAATGCTTTGTAAATCAAAATGATTGTTGAAAAATGAAAGGAGATAAAAACAATTTATTCAAACATTCATAAAAGAGTCATTCAATACTTAAATTATTTAAAAAAAAAAAAAAAAAACCAAGTTTTTGTGGTGCAAAATAATCCACACATCTACAAACAATAAGAGCTGCAATTAAAATCTTCTTAATGCAGTCAAATTACCCACTCTCTCTTAATATTAGTAGCAGCTGCAAGGTCAAATGTTAATGTCTATTAAGTTTTAAAATTATTCAACAAAACACATTTTAGTTTTTATTTTTCTCATAAACACCAGAAATTAATCATTAAATAATCCATGGGGTAAAAAAGACGACAAGATTCCTTCTCTGAATCAAAACACAAAAATTTTTTTCCAACCTTTGTTTAATCGTTCATAGGTATTATATAAGATGAAATAAAATTGTTTGATTAATATTAATTTCGAGAGAGAGAGAGAGAAAAAAAAAAAAAACAAAACAAAAAACAATTGATAAATGATAAAACAAAGTATACAACTTTTTATAGACTCGAAAATCGAACAAAAAACTCACCTTTAATACCTTTCTTTATAAAAGTATTACTTACTCGCTTTAAAAATAATATTACTAATAATTATATAACCTCTGATATTAAAACAAATAATGGCTGTTGTGTAATTAAATTTTTTTTTTTTTTTTAACTTTAAAATAAAAATTGTAAAGTGTGAAAAAATTTTTAAGGATACAATGTAGGGTGAGGAAAAAATTAAAGGGTTTATACGATTGCAAAATTATTTCTCGGATAAAAATATTCTTCATATGTAGATATATCCTGTGACAAAAAAAATTTTCAATAACTAAATAAATGTTTTACACACACACACACACCAACACACAATAAAAATATAGAAAACAAATGAAGTTTTTGAAACATAACATAAAAATATATATCGATGTAACAAAATAAAACAATCACCTTATTGGCATCATAAGCCATAAAGATTCAATTCGATAAAAAAATGTCTAACTACTCATAGACATTTGAAAAACCTCAAATTTTTTAAATTAATATTTTTTTAAAATAAATATATCATACTTCATAATAAAAATAATTCATCATTAATTATGACGTAGAGTATTTATTTATAATAATTAAATATTTAATTTTTTTTTTTTGTATATATATATATATATTAAATAAATACTGCGAGAAAATTAAAAAATATTAATGATGTCAAACCTGTTATAAAAGGGTGTGATAATAATGCTTTTGAAGAAATCGGAGGATATGCAAAGGTATTTACCGCTGAATGAATTTGTTTTTTTTGAATTAGGACGGACCAGATGAATGTAAATGCTCCTTTTGTAACAGAATAATCAATAGTTGACGTCGAGTAGATGACTCCGATGGCACAATTCTGTTGGCGACAAATTAAATAAGGCCACTCCTCACCAAACCTTTCAAATCAAGGGGCGCGATGTTGCGATATTACAAAATTTCGAAGTGCATTATGAATTTTAGCACTAATTCCATTTATTTAAACGTCACTAGAGTCTTACCTCTTTAATTCTCAGCTATACGATTAATAAAATATACTGGTTATGATGAGATAAACTATATACGCATTAAAACAATCAAATCGAATCCTACCATTAGACAAATATTAAAACAACATGGCGGCCACGGAAATGAAAAAACGCTTTATTGGCAAAACGCTGCCTCCGATATTCAAAATTAAAAACTTTTGTCTTATGAAAAATAGAGAAAAAATTTTTTTTTTAAAATGTCTTCTTTTTCTCATCCCAAAAGAAATGTAATTGTTAATTATAAAAAATAATTTTTAAATTTAATTCGAAAATCAGTATATTTAGCAATTATTTACGGACTCTTTTCTTTAATTTTTTAGTCATTACTACAGCATTTAAGAAATGAATTGCATTAAATATAATAATAATAATAATAATAATAATTATTATTATTATTATTTAAAGCTGCATGCTTAAATGCAACTATAATTAAATTATTGTTTGTTTTAAATTTATCAAAATAAACTGACTCAGCGATCAATCATATTTTTTGTAGTTTATAAAAAAGTAAAATAAAATAAAACTCAGCAAATATTTTCTACACTTTATTTAAAAGTTAATGACATTTTAATTAATAAGTAAAAGCCTCCTTATTCACGATAATATTTAATTTAATCAATTCGTTATATTATAAATCAAAATTTATGAAGCAAGTTAATTTTTTTTTTTTTTTAAATGAAAATTTCAGATGCTGTCTAAGTTTACTATCACTGAACAAAATATTCCAGAAAAAGAATAGTGTTATATTGTACTATTTTTTAAAATTTTATTTTACTCCAAAACTGAACAACCAAAGTTTGTTAAATAATTTCATTTCAACCTTAAGCCATACTATAATTTTCAGAAATTTTGATAACAATTAAATTTAATTTAAAGTAAAGTTGAACAAAAAAAAAAAATTAATTTGATGAAAACTAGTTGAAAAAGTTTTTTGAAATTAAACTTTACTTTACGTTTTGTTTTAAAAAATAATTATTCATTAGTTTAAATTTTATTCAAAGCTGAAAAAAAAAAAAACAAAACAAAACAAAACTAAGGTGTTGGTTTTGTCGCGCATAAGATAAAAATATTTTTGGCGGCATTGCAATTATTTAAAAAAAAATAATATTAAATTTGCAAAAGTTAAGAGCTTTTTAAAAATAAAACTTTTTTTTAATATATATATTTATTTAAATTGAGATTATTTTAAAAATTTTATTGTTGTTTTTGTTTTTATTAAAGCAATAAAACAATTTATATTTATAATTTATATTTAAACAAACAACGCTCAGTCCGACCCTGAGAAATTTCCCTGCGTCCACCCAAGTTGAATTCTCTGTGCTCAGTTTCAACCGAAACTTGTCGGAGGTTTGTTAGTTTTGTGTTTGGCGCGCTACTGACACGACTAGTCCTTCGAGTTTTTAACGGATTTTCATCCGGTCTGCGTGTGTATTTGATTACATTAATTATTAAAAACAGTTTTCAGTTTTTAATGTTGTGAATAACTGTCTGTATATATTTAATGTTGCATATTCTAATGAAAAATACTTGGGAGTGAAAATTTAACAATGAATGTCGTGATTTTAAGTTTTTTCGCGTTGTTGGGGGTTGGTCTTTTGGAATTCACCCAAGGAGAAAAATGTCCATCAAAATGTATTTGCTTCAAAACCACCGTTCGGTGCATGCTGGTTCACATCGAAAGAGTTCCACAGATTCCAAAAGATACTACCATGTTGTAAGTTATTACACATATATTTTCAGTTGTTTGTAAAGAAGTTTTTTTCTTAAACTCTCTTGCCTACCATATACTCATACCATAAACATCACAATAAACAATATTTTAGTTTTTCTCTTTCATTAACCATCTTTAGTGATTTCAATCGGTGATCAAAAGAAAAAAAACTGATGTTGACCCTGAATTTTATATTATTTATTTATTATTATTATTTTTTCTTCTCCTTCTGACTATTTATCTTCAACTAATTGGTTTAAAGTTACTATCTGTCTAATCTGTCATTCATTTTAAGGTTTTAAGGAAAATAATTAACTTTTCAATTTTGTTGCTGATCCTTTTTAAAAAAATTATCAATATATATATATATATATATATATATATATATATATATATATATATATATATATATATATATATACCTTGTTGAATGTAATTTTAATTCTCATAATTGTTTAGTACATAAATTATAATAGAAATTTTATAAAAGCTTCACTAATTTATCATACTCGAATGATTATTTTTAACTTTTAGTCATTGAATTTTTCCCTACTTTTGTAAAACAATCTTTTTATAATTCTAATTCTTATTTTTTTCTTATTAATTTATTTTTAAAATTTTATTAATTTTATAAATTTTACAAGTAAAAACTTCTCATCTATTTTGTTTCTTATCTTAAAATATTTAAGACATTATTAATTTCTATATATATATATAATTTAATAATTTTACTTAAATGTATACTTAAGGTGATATTGTTTTCATTTTTACTATATTTGAAAATTTAAAATTAACAGGATTAAATATAATAATAAGGTAAAAATATAAGTAAAGAAAAGAAAAGAAAAACAAACAGGCATTTAATATATTTATTTGTTATGTATATATATAATGTATACTATAAACTTAAAATTTTTAACTTAAAATGAAAACAATATAACTTAACATAAAAGGCAAAGGTTTTTTTTCGGGAGGATCCCTGTTGGTTTTTTTGCTTTTTATCCTTTTCAATACATAGAAAACTTGGGAAATCCCTAGAGTATATGAAAAAAAAAACAAAAAAAAAATTCATCTTTTTTACATATCTTATATGTATATACAACCGTGTTTAAATTTAAAACTTTTAGGCATCATCCTTTTGTTATTTTCCTTATTTATTCTTTTTTTTTTTTTTTGTCTTGTCAGATGATTTTTTGTTTTTTTACACACCCATAAACCAAAAAATAAGGAATTGTCAAATAGTATCTTTTTGTATGTATATCCGGTATCGGTAGCGGTTGCAGTTGTTGTTAGTAACAGTAAATTTAATTTAAAAAAAAAAAAATTTTAAATCTAATTAGAGAAATTATATTTTAAACTCAAATCTGGGATGTGTTTGCGGTTTAAGTTTATTCTGCTACAACTTGAATTTCTTTTCCTCATTTTGAGAAAAATTTACCACACTTAAATGATTGGAACTCGAGCTAAGAAAAATTTAATGAGCCTTTAAAATTAAAATCAAAATTAAATTTCAATAATAATTAGTTAAAAAATTAAAAAAAAAAAAAAAAACTTTTTTTGTTTTTGTTATTAAATTACTTTAAAATTGAGTGAAAAATGTATTAAAATGAACAAAGTGTACTTTAAGTTAAATTTTTTTTAATTAATAAGAATTACCATTAAGGGGGAGGGGGGTGTAGGGAGGGAAAGAGGAAAAGAAAGTTTTATTCAAAAAATTAATTATGTAAATTAATAAATTTGTAATTAATTTTCTCGAAGTTAATAAGGTGTATAATAATCATTTAAAACAAAAATGAAAATTTATTAACAAGATTAGGGTAGTAGTTTAGTATAAAACTAAATTTTTACCACCAGATAACAACCAGATAGACAAAATATTACAATTACAAAAATCTTTCTTTGACCTTTATTATTATTATTATTATTATTCGAAAAATCTATATGAAATATAAATTTTTAAAGTTATAAGACGGTTAAAACTAACTTAAATAATAATAATTCATTGAGTTTTAATGGCGTTTAAAATTTATTTTAACTAACCTAATGCTAACAATACTCTTTTAAAACTTTTAATATTTTAATATGCATCCATGTTTTTAAATATTATTTGAATTCTTTTTAAATAAGCAAAATTTTTAAATTTTTTTGTTTGTTTGTTGTAAACCCCCCCCCTCCTTTCTTTATTATTTGAGAAATTTTACTAAAGGAAAAAATTTATTTGCACCATAATTATATATAAATATGTATATGTTATACGTATATATATATATATATATATATATATATATATATATAAAATAAAATAAACACCATTAAAACCTTTCGATATAATAATAATAATAAGAATTCATTTTATAACATTTC